TTAGGTTCCCTGTAAGAACAGTACATCTCTTAATTGCTGGACCATCTCTCTAGCCCCTAGCATTTCTATCTCTCGACTCAATTCAGTTTTTATATCTTGACATCATTCAGTTCTTTGTGTTTTCTTAGGATTCATTCATGAGTTTATTCATATCCTCTCTGATGTTTTTGAATATGTTTGTAAATATTCTTTTGAATTATTTTGTCTGTCATTTCATTGAAGTCATTCTCCCTGGGGTCAATACTGTGAGACTAGTATATTTTTGGAGGAGACAAGTTGCCTTTGTGTTCATGTTACTTTTGTGTTTGCACTGGGACTTGCACATCTGGAAAAATTTTATTTAAGTCACTTTTCTTATTTCAGTGGGAGAGTTTTAAATGTTCAGGAGAAATTAGTTTGCAGTGGCATTGAAGAGTCATTTCCTCTGTAAGATTAGTGTTCAGAGTACGAGGCTCTAACTCCATTCCATCCAAGAGAGTAGAATTCTATTTGCATTCTATTGCCTAATTACTATCTGGGGTAGACCCATCATGAAAACAGAGTTATAGTTAACTACAAAATCATCAACCATCATCCTACATGGACCAATTGTTTTGGGGTTGACAGTACTGTTTGTATTAATATATCAGATTTGATGGGTATTCATTGAAAGCAAAGTGACGGGGAAAAAAAATCCCACAGTAAGAAAGACTAATGATTGGTATTAAGTTGATAGAAAGCATGGAGAAAATCATAAAATTTAGGGGAATTGCTGTAAAAGCAAGAAAAAGAGATGACAAAAGGGAGTTTGAGCAGAAGGTAATCTGAAAGAGAGAGGCAGAAATATGTTGTAGATAATGCAGAACAATTCTATTTCTCTGGAGTCCATGGAGACTCCCAAACCAGGACAGTCTGTTTTTTGAGAGATGAAAAAGAAAAAGGTAAGCTAGGAAGAGAAAAAAGATATAAGGCAGGACAAGGATGTCATTTAAAACTGACATTGGGTATTAAATTAAAAAGAAATAGTTGTAATGGGGAGAGGGAGTTAGGTGGAGACACAGGACATAAAAATGATCTGGCCTGCTCCAAGTGTGGCTCTCGTGTCTGAGGATGACGCCTCGGGAGTGATGGGTAACGGGTTTTCCTTAACCATTTGTTGTTGAATCAATAAAGTCCACTGAACCTTGAAAAAAAATTATCTGGCCTGGTGGCTTCTAGAGACCCATCTTGCCATGGTAGCTCCTCTATGTGCTGAATTCATCACCTAGCTCCACAGTGCCAAACTCTTTCAGCCTGAAGCCTCAGCATTAAACTACAAGAGCACTACTCCCTCTGCAGGGAACTCTTTGATGGCAGTCTCAGTTCTGGTTCTCTCAAATGAATTTTCAATTTTACAAGATGGGGCTTCCATGAATGGATAAATCTGAAGTTTAAAAAGAAACACATTTGAGCCGGATGGTGGTGGCACATGCCTGTAATCTCAGTACTCAGGAAGCAGAGGCAGGTGGATCTTTGTTGGAGGCCAGCCTGGCCTATAGAGCAAGTTCCAGGACAGCCAGAGCTGTTACACAGAGAAACTCTGTCTAGAAAAAAAATACACATTTGTTTCTCATATCATGGTTGAAGATACGTAGCTGCTCACCTAGCTGAACATGGATGTTTTGTACAAACTGGAGGGCCATGGCTATCTCTGAGAACAGATGGCCCCCTAGTTTCCCTATCATAGAAATCTAGAAAAGCAGATGCTCCCATGGGCAAGTGGGTGAATAATTTATGAACTCATTCACAACCAGCAATTTTTTCCTCCAGATTCTTAAACTAACTTGATGTAGATCAAACAGAAGTGATGCAATCTCTGTAACCCCAGGCCTGGTCTTAACTATTAAAACCAAGCATGTTGCTAAATAAAACTATACCCATTTTACAAACAAGAAAATAACAGCCAGGTGTCTTGAAAGCTTACCATTTTACATCCATTTAGCCACAGCATTGCTCTCATTTAAGTGATATCCAAAGGCTATAGAATAATCACAACTTAAAAATAGAAAGAATCACCAGGCAGGATGACATACACCTTTAATCTCAGTACTCAGGAGGCAAGGCAGAATTTGAGGCCATCCTGATCTACACAGTGAGTTGTAAATCAGCCAAGGATATAGAGTGAGACCCTGTCTCAAAAGAAAAAAAAAAAGTGTATAAATAATCAAGAATAAACAAAGGAGAGAATAGGCAGGCAGGCAGGCAGACAGAATGATCACTAGATGGCACTGTGAGGAGTTTTGAACTCAAGGACAGTTGCCACCAGCTACCTGGCTTGGGGAAGTCTATACTCTGTGTTTTATCCCTTCATCTGTATAATACTGGACTAAAACGACACTCCACCCGTCTCTAATGTTCTACGTGGAAAAATCTGCAAGAGTGGTAAATAATGTCCAGTATCGTTTTTCTCAAGGGAATGGAAATAGTGGAGAAAACCCTGGTGACTCACACAAGGAAATCCACCTAGACTGCTGGAGGCTCAAACAAGCTGAGACCTGATGAGAGCCCCACCAGCTTTTCACATTGCTCTCAAGCCAGCCTGTGCTCAAAGGATTCCTCGCCTTCCCCCAAGGCTTTTTGACTAGGGCCCAATGGTCACTCTGAGAAGTGGAAGGCGGCAAGAGAATGGGACCCCAAAGTCTCTCTCACTCGGGGAGTAACTAGGCACTTCTGCCTCCATGCCACTGCTGGGAAGCTGCCTGAAATCGCTCCCTTCCTTTAAATGGTTTCATATGAACAGGAGAGTAAGTTCTAAACTTGAAGACACTCGGTTCTCCTCTAGCAGCAACCTAACCCACCAATGACAAACCCCACAGCCCCAGGCTGAGAAGACAGACAGCTGAGAGCTGGTGCCCCTTAACCACCAGCGTGGCATTTTAGGTTGAGGCTCAGTTTGGACTGTAGAGGAGGGGTGGGGTGAGACGGATTTTTTGTGGGGAGAAAGCCTTGCATCTAGATTTTTGTGGACTGTCGGCTTCCGGTTATTGCATTGACTTGCTCCATAGAGACACACTTGATTTCGCATAGGCGAGTCCCAGTGGGTGAAAAGGAAGCACTGATGGAATCGGTGACTGGCTTGTTCAGCAAATGAAAAATGGTGCAGGTGCTCATAAATACGGACTTGGGGAAGTTGCTTAATAGTTGCTCACCACCAAGGTTAATGTATTTGCCCAACAGCTAAATGAGGTTAGTACCTCCTGCTTCAGAGTAGGACTCCTAAGAGAAATACGCTTGTGAAACAAAGGAGCCTCACAAGCTCACACAAGTGAGCTGCGGCACGTGGAGGTCAGCGTGGAGCAGTCGGCCACCAAACACAAGCGGAACAGTGGCAGCAGCCCCCGGGTCTGCCATCTAGTTGGCAGATCAAGTGTCTCTGTCCTGCGCGGACGCGAAGAGGAGCATCTCCTTTCGCATTCGCGGACTCCAACCCCGAAGAGGACCAGGCGCGGGGTTTGGCAGACTCGGGCTGGGAGTTGGAACACTGCGGTTGTCTGTCTGCGGATGGCTGGACTGCTCCCTCTCGCCCTTACGCCCTTACTCTCCGCCAGACCGGATCGACTGGTTCCAGAGGCTCACCTAAAGGAATTTGGGTGGCCCTCCCTCTTCACGGAGTACCGAGCCAGTCCTGCGCGATAGCATCAGACTTCACACGCCTCTGGGCAAACGAAAGCCTGGAGAGGAAACCGATACTCGCACAGGCTCCACCCCCGCGCGGCTTCCCTCTAGTAGGCAACCAAACCTCCCACCCCTCAGGAACCACCAAAGAACCAATAGTAAATGTTAGAATTTCAATAAAGCATCTAGAGGCTCTGTCCCACCCCATTCTTCCAATTTCTACCTTCAGGTCTTTTCCCTTTACTCCTCTCCCCCTTTGTCCCACCCCAAACACTCAATAGCAAGCATTTATACAGTCTGAGCATCCCCAACAGGAGTGTCCTCACAAGAAGAAAACGGACTCTTAGCCCCACTCTTCAGAAGATGAGTAGCAGAGACCTAAAGCCACCTAGTCATTTATTTCCTAGGATTCTTGGGAGTGGTCTTTGCTCCTCCTCGTGGTTTAAGAACTGTAAGGAAGGTTTGTCTGTTAATAAGCAAATGGCTGCTCCCATCCCCCTCTACTCCTCCGGCTTGGCTTGAAAGTGGTTCGTTTTAGGAACTACCTTCAAAATCCCAAAGTTTCCATCTCTCACCACCCTCTGCCGAGGACAGAACCCAGGGCCTGCCAGATGGTAGGCACAACATCCCAGCCCTCAGGAAACACCAGAATATCAATAGTCAATGTTAGAATTTAAAATATAAAATCCAAGTATTAGACAAAGGACAACAACACAATGGTATAAATCTGGAGGGAATTTTCACACAGCCCATCTTCAGGTTTGTGCCTTTCCCATATTTTATTAAACTCGAGTTGTTGCTTAAAAAACAGCAGCATTATCAAAGACGCATCTGTACAAACATTTTACAAAGAGAACATTACTAGGATCAGCTCCATCAAGGGCAGGCAGAAGAATAGACGCAGTCCAACAGAGACATCTAAAATGTATTCAGATATTGGAAACGCCTTTCCTCCCGTACAAAAGACGGTGCTTGAAGAACACTTCCCTTCTTTCCAGGAAGGCAGGGAGCAGGCGGATATCAACCCAGGCCAGTAAAAGCATTGCTTCCCCATTTCAACCCATTTAAGTCTTTAAGTGGATTAAAGTCGCTGGGAAACGGTCCGGGGCTGCCTGGCACTTGCTTCTTAACTAAGCCACCTAGCCGGCCTTGGCTTAACTCTCCGGTCAGGTTTCTATTGACCGAACAAGGAATTTCAAAAATGCTTCCTTCAAGACCAAAGGCGAGGAGGTGGCCTGAACTCAGCATCTAGCGCATTTGTTTGTGGATAGAGAAGGAAGAGGTCAGAGCTGGGAGGAAAATTACCTCTTGGCCAAGAATCAACCGGCCAACACATTCTGGTCTGGGGTGATGCACCTGCCGGGCATCTACAAACTGGGTTCGCGTCTCATCTCCCCCAGCTCCTTTAGCTCCACCTTTCTATACTTTCCTGACTTCCTCCGGTTGGTGATCACCAAGACGACCACACCAGCCACTAGCGCCACTACAACCACAGCGATGACAGCGATGAGGCCGGCAGTGAGGCGCTTCATGGAGAACTGGGGGGGCTTCTCATCCAAGTAGTAGATGAGCGTCTGCTCCACGTGCAGGGGCTCCCCACGCACCTGCACATCCAGGCCCCGGCGGCCAGCGAACAGCGACTCGCCTTTGATGTCCCTCTCGAAGTAGTAGGCGGCGTCAGCTATGTCCACGTCTCTCAGCCCCTTTTGCGATGCGTTCTGCCGCAGCTCAATCTGGATGATGGGCTCCTCGTAGTGAATGGCCGACAGAAAGTTGGGACGCAGCTGGTAGCGCTCCTTGAAGAGCCGCCGCAACTCCGAGTCCAGGTCAGAGTGGTTGAAGGCTCGGTCGGTCTGGCGGTGGCGCAACTCAATGAGGATGTGGTGGGTGCGCACCACTTCGTCGCAGCGCAGGTTCAGGTCTCCCTTGTCCGTGCGGCGAACGCCCACCGAGTTTACACACCAGCACACGGAGGTCTGGTTGCACTGGCGTGCCTTGAAGTGACCCTTGTCGTCGCATTCTGGGTCATAGAGGCCGTCGTTATCCAGGATCGCGTGCTCGCTGGGCTTCACCAGGCTGCGACCACTCTTCCGGGAGTTCATGCGCGCCTTGAGCAGCAGGCACTTGGAAGTCAGCGTGGAGCAGTCGACTAACACCTGTGAGCCGATTGCCCGGCACTGGCAGACGCCACCTGGGCCATCTGAGCTGCAGATGGTCATCTTGTTGGTGGGGCACGTGCAGTTGATCTGTGCCACGCATAAGCGGGTCACCACCGCCAGCAGCAGCAGCAGCAGCAGTGGTGCTAACTCCGAGCCCCTAGCCATGGTGGGGTGGAGGGGAGCGGTCTTAACTGACCAGGAAGGAGCCTGAGTTCTGAACGATCAAGCTGGGTAGGACACTGCAGGCAAATGCTGTCAGGCGGCTTCCTCAGGTTCTTATACCCTCCCGAACCTGCAGGACTGGTTAGCCAGTGACTCACCCAGTGGAATCTGGGTGGTACTCCCCATTCCCAGGTCCCACAGAGGAAGCCTCTCGAGATAGGATCAGGCAGGGGAGGCCGCTCCTGCCATCTGCTGACCAAAAGCCCATAGAGGAAACCAGTACTTACCTGGCCCCACCCTGTCCTCGTTATGGCTCAGAACTAGGGCGTCCCACCTCTCCTAGTGCAGTCTCCAGAGTTCCTCCAGAGACTCAGCTCCTGACCTCCATAGTCTTCTCATCCCAGATCCCATAATCAATCCCAACCTCCTCCCTTTCTCTCCGGACTCCTATCTTCAGTGTTTTTCCTTCCCACTTTTCTTGATCAGGACACCTCATTAACATCTTTACACAGTTCTTTCGCTGGTCACCAACATTAGCATGTCCCCATGCCAACATTAGCATGTCCTCATGCCATCCAGGACACAAGCGGGACTGTCTGTAAGTCCTACTCCAGGAGAGACAATGCAGATGGGGGGCGGGGGGAACCCGAAGTCACCAGCCATTGATTTCCTAGGATTCCGGCCTGGGTCTTCTGTTTGGCTACAAAAACTGTAAATGAATACTTATGAAAAACAAAGTGGTGCAGAACCTGAAGACAGGCTAGTGAAACAATTCCATTACTACATCTCCTACAGAATCCAATTGTCCTGGTGTGCCATGGATTAGAAGTTCTATTGAACACACTCGCGTGCCTATACTTGTTAAAGATAACCGAAAAGAAACAAAATTTTGTAGAGTCAGTAAGACCACTAGAGAGATCTTGTACACTTTGATTCTTAGAGAGCAAATTACTGATTTTTCCTTCTCAATAACCAGTGGTGGTAGCTGAAGCACTAAGCATGAGGACAGAATGGAGCCTGTGAGAGTCTGTGCCTCTTTAATGGGATGGGAGGGTGACAATCTCTTAGAATCTAGAGAAAGTCCACCATTCTAAGCTGTGGTAAAATTAACAATAATTAACAAACTATAATTATTCTCAGATCCACCTTCAAAACACATTTTATATATCAGCATTTAATGTGCGCCAGTAGTATACTGTGCAAGGGTGTTGTTTGACTCCTGGAAGCTAGCCAGGCCTCTGCACCATTAATTTTCAAGCAATTCCTGAGGTGGACAGATGCAAACCTATTATTTTGTCTTTATAGGCAGAGGAAGCAGAGACACGAGGGACAAATTCTTACCCAGTAGCACCAGGAGATTGGGGACACACCTCTGATTTCCATCACCACCACCTCTTTAGGTCTACTGAACAACTAGCCTATCCTGTCCAACCTCCACCCACCCAGCCACAGAGAAAGATCTAAAGCACAAATCTGTGTACCTTTTCTCTCCGTTGAGAATACTGTGTGTGTGTGTGTGTGTGTAAGACAGAGACATCTTGGCTCTAAGAGTAAAGGTCACAGTGTCAGCTGCTGTCGTTCTTACTGCCATCATCATTGTATACCTGCCAACTTCCCAGACGTCCACATGTTCTGAGACCTTGGCAGTCATGTACCTGTAACTGGTTCTAGTGTATAATTGTGATTTTTTCTGCTTAATCATGGTTTGCTTTCTGGAAACCTTTCCTGATCCACTCAGGAATATGCCTCTTCTCCGTACTCCCTTGTCTTTTCATCCTAGGGTTAACAAAAAGTATCCTCCCTGGGTTTCTATTGCCCATCTGTAAAATGGGTATATCAGAGGCTCTGTTTCTTAGGTTATCTATTCTGAGACTAAAGCTAAGTAGACAAGACAGTAAATGGTAAAGCTTTGTAGCTCCAAGACAATGTGATATTCCATTAAATGTTATATTCCAATAAAAGCTTGTCTTCTCACTTTTTCCAGTGATTGGATGAGTGGCCATAATCTACTATAACTGGCAAAACCACCTGGTATTCTTTTTCCTTTAAAAGTTTATTTATTCATTTTTTATTTTTATTTTTTTGAGAGTTTCTTTTTTCCTTTTTTATTTAAGTTAGAAACAATCTTATTTTATATATCAATCCCAGTTCCCTCTTCCTGCCATTTTCCGTGTCCCCCACCAACCTCCATCCCATCCCTCTTCTGCTCCATAGAAAGGATGAGGCCTTCTATAGGGTATCATCACAGTCCTGTCACATCATTTGGGGCAGGGCCTAGGCCCTCCCCCATGTGTCTAGGCTGAGAGAGACTATTCTTCTATGGGGAATGGGCTCCCAATGTTTGTGACTTGGGACAGGTAAATATCATCACATCCTGGATTACCACTCCTACCTTAGCCCACCTTCCAGATGCCTAGTTTTCAGGAAGACTAGTACCCTAAGAATTGCATTTAAATTTATATTTACATATGAACATAAATTTTTATTGGCCTTATACCTGTAGAGAGGAGGGATAAATTCTGATGAAGGGTTAACTTTAGGGATTAGGGTCAGGGTTTAGGTTTGGGTTTGTGTTGGGTTAGGATTAGGGTTTGGTTATGATTCCTTAGGTTTAGGGTTGAGTTATGTTTAGTGTTAGCGTTAGAGTTTCTGCTTGGTGGTTAAGATATAGGCTAGGATTAAATATGGTGGTTAGAGTTCAGGTTAGTGTTACAGTTAGGGTTAGGGGTTATATTTAGGGCTGTTATTAGGGGGTTAGGGATAAAGTTAGGAGTTAGCATTAGGCTTAGAGTTAAGGTAAGATTTATGGTTAATGTTGTCTTACTTTAGATCACTTTAGAGTTATGGTTAGAAGGTTAGAGTTAGGTTTCCTTTTGTTTAGTGTTGTTAGGTTTATTGTAGATTAGGGTTAGGATTAGGGAATGGGTTGGGTTTATGGTGAATGTTTGAGTTTTGAAGTTTGGTTTAGGGGTTTGTTTTAATGTTTACTGTCAGGGTTACAGTTATGGTTTGATTAGTTAGGCTATAATTAGTTAGCTAACTGAAACTGACCAGCCACTGACCGCCTCTCACTCTACGTCACCCTGACCACACCCTTGCAGGTGTGGTCAGGCAGACCTGTAGCCAGCCCCTAAGCAGGCGTGGCTACAGGTTCCCCTACAATCCCTTTTTAGTCTAAAAGAGGATTAAAACTTAACAGTGTAAAGTATCCAAAATTAACAATCATAGAGTTGAAATATAAGAAGATCTTATGTCACATCCTATCTATTTTAACTAAATCCTAAAGTCATCTGAAAGAGGTGTCCAAGCCTGAATGCCTCCTTCCAATCCCAACCATAAATAATAGGAAGCTATCCCTAACTAGGTATATACACTATCCTAAATGATAACAATGGGGAAAAGGGGAGTAGCATCCTCCAAGTTACTTCCTGCTGAAATGGGACGATGACATCCTTCTGGGGTCCTGTAGGAAGAAAATGTTAGTATAGAAAAGTCTTGAATGAATTGTATCCAGTCCATGTTAAATGGGATTTGCTTGATTGAAGATCTCGATTGAACTCCTCAACTTGATTGAAGTCAGTACCTGAAGCTCTGGCCGGAGTGTCAGTTGAAATGGAGCAAGTTGGATACAGTGCAGTCGAGGAGGTGTGGCCCATTTTCTTTCTAGGGTATCCAGGGACTGCTGTCAGGCAGGTCTTCATTGTCTGTGTGGGACTCAAACATAAACAGGTAGCAGAGAAATGTTTGCTTGTGATGTACACATACTGGGAAAGGCAACCATGGGAGAACAACAATTATGAGAGGGTGTACACTTTGAAAGAAAGATCCAAGAAAAGACAAAGACAGTCCCCAGATTCTTCTCTTATTCTGTATTACATCAATTGGCTTCTTGTTACAATACAGAAACTCTAAAGTTTAGTTAAATAACGTGCTTGGATTTTTGAGGAGGAAAGCCAAATCCATCTCTAAATCCAGCATTGGTTTAATTGAATAGGGACTAGGAAATAAAGAGAAATAGAGTTCTCTGAGAGACAGCTGTAAAGTTTACCATGGCACGTTCCTTTTGTTTGATGGTTATAGCTACCTTTTCTTCTTAAGTATCTACCCATGCAGTGTCCTTTGCCTTCTGGAGATGAGTTTTCCTGTGAAGATAAAAGCAAAACACTTCCCTTTCCTTTGGGGGGTTTCTATTTAGTTTATGAGATATGCCTTAGTAGAATACCTGTAATTTGTCCTCGTAGAGAAGTTTTTCAGGATAGGATATTATCATTAGCCCTGCCTGGTTCTGGAACCCAGTCTAAGACCAGCTGATCAACACAGGTAAGCACAAAAGCTTAGCTCCCTTCCCATAGACCCTGTGGTTGGAGTTTGTGTGTGAAGAGTAGGGGGGGGGGAGTAATATGCTACCAAAAAATGGCTGCTGGATGGAGAAAGTGATGGAACACAGCAAGTGAGTAACCCAGCTCCTCATCTAGCACATTTGATTTCATCTTGATACTTACTCACCTCTGAGTTATGGTTAGTTGTAAACCTGTTTTTATGCATTTTGCTTGAGGTAGTGCAGCAATTCCATTTAGGGCTATGGATATGCTTAGGGCAAGAGTTTGAGTTTTTTGAAGGCTCGGGTGAGTGCTAGGATTTGGGTTAGTATTCCAGTTATGTCTATGGTAGAGCTAGTTTTAGGTTTGTGGTTAGGGTAGGTTTACAACTTAAGTAAGAGATAAGGTTTGGGGTTGGGTTAGAAACAGTATTAGGTTTAAGGTATGGCTAGGCTAGACATAGGTTGGGCCTAGTGTTAGAATTAGGGCTAGGTTTAGTGTTAGTCTTAGGGTTAAAACTAGGGTTAGAGCCAGTGTTTGCATTAGGTGTAAAGCTTTGTTTAGTTTGAGGAATAAGGTTAATGATAGGGTTACGGTTTTGTTTAGATAATGTGATGGTTAATGCTTGAGTTAGTGCTTTACTTAGGTTAGAGTTAGGGTGAAGGTTTGGTTTAGAGCTTTGAA